TTGAATAATAAAAATCCATGATCTTCACATGAGATTGCAAGAAGAAATGTCACTTGGCAAATTATGGAAAACTTGTATTATATCGAATCTTTGGAATTTTAATAGAAGGAGGAATATTGTACGCGCGTGAAATATTACACGAGGTACAAAACGTGCGCGATAAGTTTTGACATATGAGCGACGATATATATATACCTGGGTCCTATCTCTATATGTACACTTGTCCAGCTTGTGGAAGTATCAAGAAATGTTTAACCGCGAGAAAGAGAGAGAGAGAGAGGTCCCAGCGAGTTCGTCACTACGGGGGGGCTCTCACATATACGTGGTATAACACATCCTCCCGAAAAACCAACATCGGCGCCGACAAATAACTACCCATATTATCCGATCTTCAAGACTACCAACTCACCATGACTCCTTTGTATATATATAAAAAGAAAGGGGAGTGTGTTAGGCCCATGGCGCCCAAAAAAAAAAAAATCGCGACGAAAAAAAAAAATCCGCGTGCGCGCGAGCTCATTTCGCGAAGGAAGCGACAAAGTTAAGAGGAAAAAAAAAAAAAAAATGCAAATCAAGCCGATTATGAGAAGCGAGAAAAGATCATCGTCAACGTCTTGGATACAAAAGTCCGATAATAAAAATTGCCTCGTTATATTTGCGAAGGAGAGAAGAACTAAAATTTAATTTACGAAGTGAATTTGTTTTTAAATTTCTCACATCTTTTGAAAACTATTTTAACGGTAGAAAATTTTCAATTTAGAGAAATTTAAATTAAAAATTTTTTTTTGCGAATTTTGAAAAAGGATTTAACAATAATTTGCCCTTCATTTTAATTTCGGTATACAAAATTACTGAACTGATTGCAGCTTTTGTCTCCATCAAAATAGAAATATTTGTTCCACTCTTTGAAATGAATCTGAAAAAATTATAAAAAAAAATTTAATTATCATGAAATTATAAAACGAATAATATAAAATACAAAAAAATACTAAACTGATTGTAGATTTTGTCTCCGCCAAAATAGAAATATTTGTTCCACTCCTTGAAATGAATCTGAAAAATTATGAAAAATTAATTACTATGAAATTATACGAATAATATAAAATACAAAAAATATACTTATTTAAATGTTCGAAATAAAAAAAAATTTAATAAAAGGCAGAAATAAAACAATTTGAAAAATAAGAAATAAACAACAATAAAAATAAAAAGGAGAAAAGATAAAAAAAGAAAATTATGAAATATTACAAGACGCCTTTGTCTATGGTCCATTTGACGTTTATATGCGCAGATCATCAAATTTAGAAGTTTACCGAAGAAGAAAGAAAAAAGAACTTGAGATGCTCACCTCAAAAGAGGCTTTTTAATAAAATTAATTACAGCAGAGTTGAAAATTCTTGAACTTGAAGGAAAAAAGCAAAAAAAAGTCTCTCGAGGTGCGTTAAGTTTTAGCGGAAAAGCCTTCGAGCATCCCATAAAGAGAAACGGCGCGACGTTCAACGTTTCTTCTTCCGGTCTATAAGGCGCGTCGAAAGAGAGATGGTTTTCTCTATGGCTCTGTGACGCAGGTGGATTCGAAGCGAAATACTCGTTATTTATTGATTTACTTAATTTGACCAAAGAGAACAAGCCCCCTTTGGGCGTTTGAAGAGAGGCGGCTCATTTCGTGATTAAAAGACGTTACGGACGCCTTGGCGCAGCATGTGTGTGGCGGCAAAAGTCCCCTCAATATTTTAATGCTTTAATAGCTCTCGCCTTCTTTGGCTCATTGCAATTCGCTCTTAGGTATAGAAAGACAGAAAGAAAGAGAGAGAGAGACAGACACAATCAAAAAGTGTTCATCAATAAAAAAAATAATTTAGTTGATTGACAAAATTTGTGTCCACTACAAAACAAGAAAATAAATTTTCAAATTAAAAAAATAAAATCGAAAAGAAGAAGAGAAATAATTTTCTGGAGTTCAAAATTAGATTAGAAAATTAAGTCATAGATCAAGTGACATACATTGGAAAGAAGTTATAGTGAAAGTCTATACTCGCAGGTGCTGCTTTCATCTAAGTTCTTTTTTTTTTGACTTCTTTAAGCGTTCTTATCTCGTCGAACGAGCCGAGCGAGTTAAAAGATGCCGAAGTGCCGCCGAATCGTGCGTCTTATCGAGAATGTTGAGAAATCGTACACTGAATTCCTCTTCACGACCACCTTCGTTGAGTTTCGTTTCTCGCGTCTGCAATGCAAAAACCTTTATAAAACTTTTCGCTAATATTTTAAAACGATATCGTAAATATTAAAAAGTTAATTTCAATTCTTTGGTTTTTTTTTTTATTAAAGAATATTTTTTAAATTAAATAAAAAAATTGAATTTTCTATAAAAACTACCATAGTTTTTTTGTTTCAATTTCATATTAATAATTAATAAAATCCTGCACTTGAAAAAAAATTCATTGCATTCGTTTTTATTATCGAGTAAGAAATTCCCCAAATTTATCATTACATTGAAATAATTCAAATCTCGATCATAAATCACAATATATATATATGTTTTTATCGTTTGCATTTCGTATGTGAAATTACATTTGCGTTTTCTCGCGGTTTTAGCCATGCGATATATGAGTATACTCTTTTTTTGTATATACTTTTTTTTAATTCACGGTCGGAAGTATATTACAAGAGAAACAGCAAGAAAACACAGTGCTATGTCCGGTGAAAATTTATTACTGACCAAAGGCAGTAAGTATATATATATATATAAAGTATAACTCCGCGTGGTGAAGCAGCTCGTATATATGTGAAACGCGTTACTGAATAATGGATCCTGCGACAATATATAATTTTTTTGCCTTCTATTCAAAAATCCTGAGAAATGAGCAATAATTAAGAAAGAGACAGAAAAGAAAAAGGATAAGAGCGGTAAAAATCAGACGAACTCGCTAATGGTTAAGATGACATCATTTTGCGAAATAGACAACTAGATTTTAGATTGGTCTTATCATATTTTACGACTTCTCACACACCATAAGGGTGTATTTTTTTTTCTCTTTTCCAGTGCAATATAACAGTTCTTCTTATCGCTAAAAGGATTTATTTTTATAAAAGAATGCATTAACATTTTTCAGCTTCTAGTCAAATAAAAAATAAAACTATTATTAAAATTATTCAAAAAAAATACTTATTTAATAATAAAAAAAAATATAATTTTATAGAAGATTCATAATTTTTTTTTCAAAAATTGTTTTCAGTAAAACGACTTGAAAGAGAAAAAAAAAAGTTAAAACAGAAAAATGCATTAACACGTACCTTATATAAGCAATAAATGTGAAGTACAAACATACTTTGTCGTTTGGATTGAAGAAGTTTTCTTTACAATTAGAGGTAGAAACAGGTGCACAACGTGTAACTACTGGCACCTACTTAATGTTTTTCGACGAGGATGCGGGTTGTCTCTCTGTAGCTGAAAACGAAGAAGTCGTTGTACCATGAAACACACCAGGTTACAGGAAAGGTGCTAACGGTATATATAAAAGAGCTAATTTCTTGCATCGTCTCCGATGAGAACTAAACGAGCTAATAAATCTCACTCCGTTCCACGCTTTTATTCCTCACATCCCTGTAAACAAACATTCCTTTAAAATACACAATCCCCACTATTTTTTTTACAATATTTATTTATTAAAAAAAAATTCGTTTCATTAATAAAATAAATTAAAGAAAGTTAAAATTAATAAAAATAAATTTAATTTTTTTATTAAAAAGATTAAAGGAATTTTTTTTTTCTTACCAATATCTCCAGAGACATACCATTGTCGAGAATAATTTTCAAAGTTTTGTGTTAAATGTATATAAAAGACGATCCTCGTGTTAAACGTCGAGCAATGTAACGTTCCAGTTTTTCGTGGTTGAACAACGATGCCTGTAAGTGGCGCTGAGTGAAACATCGCGCGGACAAGTCGCTTGTGTTACATGACAAAAACTCAAAGAATCGTTATCCTCTCTCTGTCTCTGATGTTACAGTCATTCTTCGCAAGTTCTACTTAACTGGAGTGCAGAAATCTCGATGAATCTCGCGTCAAGTGTCTCAGGAACGAAGATTTCTTCTAACTCAGTAATACACTTTTTACTCAATCTCTTCAAGGTTCATGCTCGTTGAAAACCAGTCAGTAAATTATTAACCACATCACATGTTATCCGCTGATTGATAGCTGTAATTCTTCTTTTACCTTGAATTCAAAAATTATTAATTATATTCACACTAGAAAAATTAATAATGAAAAAAATGTCAGCCCTTTTCCATAATATTAATTTTACAATTTTTCAAAATGATAAAATATATAAATGAACAAAAAAAAAACTAAATGGAAAATATTTTTTAATAGTAAAAAAAAAAATTGAAAGAGAAAAATTTTTGGAATGTCATGATTGGAAGCTATAGAACACATCATCAAAAATGTTTGAGGAGAATCTGGAGATTATCTGATTGTGGGCAACTGAGCGAACGGTCCAATTCTTCCAATTAAGCTTTCGCACTTTTTGATGATATATAACGTTGAGTCGTGCAATGATGAGAAACGTCAGAAAAGGTCGACGAAGCGTCAGCGTCGAGCCTTAAATTGGATTAAGTCACTTCGCGTGACAATTGATTTATCTCATCAGCATTGTATAATTCAATGACGTTTCTCTGCTCACAAAACCGGTGTACATTCGCAAAACCCCCCCTCGTTCCCTCACTACCTATATATATATATATATCGATGAACCGATTTTAACCACCAAGGCGAGAAATCGAAACTCGTGTACGATGCAAATTAAGATATCGAAATGGTTTTATAAAAGTAAAAGAAAAAATCTTATAAAATACAATAGAATTTTTAATGCTTAAACACGTAAACAAATTAAAAATTTTTTTTAACGTATATCACGAATTAAAAACAAATAAGAATTACAAACGAAAATTAAAAAAAAAAAATGTAGAAAAGTATAATTATAAAATCTATCATGAGCGATACTTTTTTTTTTGCCGCTAAAATTTGACTTTAAGTCCTCTTTTAATTTTTAAAGTCATTGACTTATTTTTAGCCTCTTGAATAATTTGCAAAGCTTTCGCATGACTTTTTCCTTTAACGATAATTTCATTTACAATGAAAATTTCATCGCCAATTTCCAATCCCTTTTCCTTTGCTTGACCATCGGGAAAAATATTCTTGATAAATATTCCCAATCCGATTTTACAATCGGATCCTCCAACAATGGAAAATCCCAATTTTTTAACCAACGCCATTTCGAATTGAATTATAATTAAATCTTGTGTCAAATTTACAGGTGGTTTTTTTAAAAAAAATTTCTTCATTCCAGTTACGTTTTCTATTTTTTCATCCTCAATTTCTTCGCAGTTTCCATTTTTCCTCAAATATCCGACAATTTCACATTTTTTACTTGCCATTTTAACATTGACATTCTCTGATTGATCGTGTAACTTATTCCAAATCTCAGAGTCATCATCCATCGTTCTTGGCTTCAATTGTTTTGGCCAATCATCCAATAAATTACCCTTAAACGAAAATTTCGAATCCCTGGAAATCATGAGTTCAACATTTCCTAAACAATTTTCAATTGTCTGTTTCAATTGATTTTCCGTTACTCCACGAATTCGTTGTTTCGAAATTTTTACAACTTCATCTCCCAACCATAATTGTCGATGATGATCATGATCATTTAATGCGGGTTTATTTGAATTAATTCTTGATATAAAATATTTAGAATTCACTGAATTTTGATCACGTTCTATTGTTAAACCCAATTCACCTTGAATGTTGACGTTAAAATTAATTGTCCTAACAATTTTTGGCCGTGGTGGTAATTCTTTTTTTCTTATTTTCAAAATTGGTTGTATATTTTCCAGAGAATCATAAGTACTTAAACGTTTTGATGAAAAATAGGGAATTTGATAAACTTCGGTTGTTTGAGATTTTGGTGGAGTATTTTTAATTGGAATCTCTTCGTCAATTAGAAGATTTACTAAACTTTTTTTAAATTTTTCCGATGGTCGTCTAAATATGTTTAGTTTTCTCAATGACAAGTACTTCATTGATCTTCGCAGAATATTGAAGATGGAATCTGTTTTAAATTTTATTACAATTAGTCAATTGTCGAGAATTTTTTTTAGAAAAAAGAAAGAAATATATACAAAAAAAATTTACCTTTAGTAAACAATGGCATTTTTTTTCCATTTGCGCGTAATCTGAAAAAAAAATTTTAATTTTATAGATAAATTATCAAATCGATAAAATTCGAAAATTAGGAGAATAAAGGAAAAAAAATCTGATAATATATATAACGAAAGAATGATCAAATTGGTTACGAGGATTAGAAAGAAAGATGAATGGACGTAAAGTTTTCGAAATCGTGTAAAATTTCACCCCAGAAAAGAAAAGTTTAAGAGAGGGCGATTTTGTTTATAGGTGACTCATCTTCATTGGTTACGCGCGGGGGTGTATCGGTTATCACATTCCAGCATCATCATTTTCTCTCACTCTCTTCTTTTCCTGTCTATCATCCCTCATCGATGAGCGCAACGATTCTAGTGAAAACGTTGCCTCAATTTCAACCCCAACCATTTCGGGATATATGTAACATATTTGTATCGGTTCACTTGATCACCCCAATTGGCAAGGGCTGCGTTTATTCGTTTGTGAAATTAGTGCTGGTTTTGTCGTGTTTAGGGATATCAGGGTTCCACACCCAATGCCCACACATCTGGGAATTTCAAATATATATATAGTTTTGACCACTTTATCAGAATTGTCGCATTTTCTTGGAGAAAATCAAATATTTTTATTCCTGTGAAATAATTTATTGTAATTATTGATAATTTATTAATAATAAAGGAAGCCAAAATTGAATTTTCCTATTAGAATTTTTTTTTATTTCTTTAGTTCCAAATGGGGAGAAAAAAGAAATATTTTGAAAAAAGTAAAAATTCAATACAGAATTAATTTCTCAACTATAATCCGACGTGGAAGTCATTTATTTTCCCTCGCGGTGAGGCGTTTCAACAAAATTAAAGTGTCAACTCGTAAGAACCATGGAAAATTGGAGAATTCCACCAGTGTTCAGAAGAACGACGACAGGATGATAAAAGTAACGAGTGTTTCAGAAAGTCGGGAATATGCGCGTTGTATGCGTAAGCCAGAAGGTTCTTAGAGTTTGGTTTGAAGATCAGCCTTAATTAACTCGAGCCGCGAAGCTCGTTTGTGCAACGCGATTGCGATGCCGCGCGGTTTTGAAGAGGCTCGCCTCTCTTCTTCTCTTTGCGAGCGACATGTCTTGGGTGGTCAGTGAATTCCAGTTTCTCGATAATTGGTCGAGGTGTTTCGACACCCAACCACCACTACTATAACAAATATAATCGAACACAAGTCTTCGGCACTATGCATATATACTCTATATATAAAGATACATCGTTTGATAGCGATATAGGATCGTTATATTATCTCAAGAGAGGCGCGAGCCAGCGAGAGAAAAATAAACCAAGAAATCTAATCAATGTGTGGGGTTTATATTCCAGTTCAATAATTTCCCATCTCGAGCGAAAATAATTATTCGCCTTTTTATTTTTTTTTTGCAAAAATTACTTTTCTAAATTATTATTTAAAAACTTGCTCTCTTTTTATATGCTAATTTCTGAAACTTAACAAGTTTTACTGAAAAATAGGAAAACATTTCTTTTTTTTTTTTTATACTTGGAATTTCTTTCTCTCTCGCTCGTGATTAGATCGTGTGCTGCTCCTCTCAATTAGAAAAAGTACGATCGTAAATATCGTGCGAGCGAAACGGTAAGGCGAGTTTGTTGCGATCTAAAAATCCTTATTTCTCTTCCTTCTTGTTCAATGATGAGGATAGAACTTGTCTCTCTGCCTCGTTAAATCCTCTATTCGATCCATATTTCGATTATTGCACCTATAATTGGATAATTTACTCATCACTTCTAATAAGAATTTTTCTGTAATTTCCGATTTTTTCGAAAATTTTCTTTCACCTGTAAAATAAAATTAATTAATAAAGAAATCGAGATTTATGAATCGTTTCTCTATAAATAGATTTGAATAAAGCTTTTTGTGTAGATTGAGGAAAATTCAAGAAGACAAAAAAAAAAAAGAAGAGAAAAAAAAACTAGAAGTGGTATTAAGCGTTTTCTGAAGTAAAGATAGTCATCGTCTGAAGCTCTTAAAAGCGACGTACCGTTTTGCGTTTGCCATACAAAACGCGCTGCGCCTCGAACTCTGCGGATTATTCGAGAGTTTTTCGATTACGATTGCAAAATGTTGGTGGATGTGCTCAAAAGCACTTTGAGCATTGCGGTTCTCTATCTCTTTCTCTCTTTCTTTCTTTTCCTTCTCTTTTTTTTTATCTTTCTCTCTTGCTTCGTAACCAAGATAACAGCAAACCACTCCTCTCTCTTTCTATATACCTCCGATGTGATCCAAAACTCCCGACGAGTGGAGAGGCGCCTTGTATATATGCGAATCGAAGAATACAGTAGGGGCAGAAATGGCAGGAAGGCCAAGGAGGGATATCCCTCGGCAACTTTAAATGCCTCCTTTATGCGAAATATTCCCCCAACGTTGACAAATTTACAAATACGTTTGCAATTCTTTTTTTCAGTACGAATCTGAAATCACGAAAAAAAATCAATAAACCAAAATTTTGATTTAATATCAAAAATGAAAAAAAAAATTATTTCAAATTTTAAAAAAATTTTAAAAATATTAATTAAGAGAAACAATAAATTTGATTTTCGATGACATATTTCGCTGTAGAAAAAAATCTTTGATTAGACCGACGCGCACATAAAGAAGGCAATAAAAAAATCAATTCGTTAATTTTTGAAATTCTCACGCCTATGATGATTCACATTTTTTAATTACGAGATATAACGGTTATTCGCTGGGAGGATTTAAACAATATTTTGATGGTTTCGAGAAAATCGACAGAGATGAGTTTAAGGGCCTTATAATGAAAAAGGAATCTCTTTCGAAATTCATTTAAATACACTTTATAGATTTTCTATACCTATCATTTTTTTTTACTTTCCTGTAATACGAATTCATTAATTAACTTTTTCCCTAATACTATTTTTACTACCCGTGATTTTTTGTGAGTAGAAAAAAAGATCTCGAGAGGAAAATGGTCGCATCTTCGGTGCATCATTCATGTCGCTTCCATTTATCGTTGCGTCCTTTTCGTTCTTGGAATTCCAGACGATGGACAAGCAAGCGCGGTCAGATTAAAAATTCCTCTCGAATTGAAGTGACTTTGTAAATGTAGTGACCTCTCGTATAACTTTGCGAGCATGTGATGACGTTATTAAAGTGCCTTTCCACTTCTCGCTTACGCGCATTTCTATATAATAAAAACGATGGAAAAATGATAACAAATTATATTCCTATATGTAATATCATCGCCGGAGCGGGTTTAATTTTATATATATATATGCCTCTTTTCCCAGTGAATGTATTAAACCTATTCGGAAGTCACGATTATACGACTTGGATTTTATTATATAACATTCGAGATATGGTGTCGTATAATTTTACACTTGACCTGATCAAGTATTTCAAATATTTTGCAAATTTATTTTATTTAACGGTTTAAATGCATATACTCACTTTATATTTGTAAATTTTCTCTTTTTTTTAATGTCATTTTAATGATTTTCTATTGCAAATGGTTTTCTGTTATATTATTTTATAGAAAATAGTTTATAATTTTTTTTTTTTGCATTAATTTATTGGACCCTGAAATTTATTTTTCATTTCGGGGTAAATTGAGATTTTGAGAGCTTCTTGTTTTTCGAGACAAAATATAGAGTCAATTTCTTCTCGCATTAGTGTTTAGATGAAGAATTTAGTAAGCAGACATGCTTCTCGGCGATATTATCTACGAAAGAGTTGAGTATTTGTTAGTTTCACCACGTTTTTAGTTTTCTCAGCAATGAAAAAGCAAAAAAGAAAAAAAAAATAAGAATATCTCTTTTTGGTTGGAATACGGTCACGACACACACCGGAAACCATGGGGCAATTTTTATCTTGGATGCATCTGACACCCGCACGTTCCTCCACCTATTTTCTGGATCTTCTCAACATCCGCACGTGCGTATATACAACAACTAGAATATTGTCGAAAACAAAATTGCATTGTCCTTTCTCTTTCTTTAATAAAAAAAAAAGAAATCCTTTCTAGAAAATTGAAAAAAAGCGAAATTACTGAGATTTAAAAAAAAAATTGTGAAGAGTTTTTTTTTCAAATTTAAAAATGTAAATAGCATCTGCAACTTACGGAGTTCATTAGATGAAAAATATGCGTCCAGTGTGCAAATTTGATGTCAATTTTTTTTTTGTACTTAAAAGCTGTTTAAACGGACAATAACTATTCAGAATGTAATTTCAGTAAAACGACGAGAGTCTTCTTGCGATAAAGAGTTCCAGTATAAATGAAAAGAAGCTCCAAGCAGTTAGGGTGTCGAAAAAGATATGCATCTCGAGGCAATAAGGTATATACAAATAAAAAAAAACCACCGTATTCGGTTGTCAGATAACATCGATGAGTCCCTGGCACGAATCGTTCAACCTCTGACAGGACAGATGGAGACTGATAAATAATGAACTAACTCGAACCTTTTTTTTTTCTCCTTCTTCAAATAAATCTTCACCTAAAAAAAAAGGAAATATCAATTACAAAAATCAATGAGAGTTTTTTTTTATCTGTAGTTATTATTTAATAATTTGTCTTAAAAAAAAAAGAAACGCTTTAGTTTTGAAAAATTGAAATTTACATATATATTTTTTTTTGTCATTTGTAAAATGAGACGAACACGAGCTTTAATCTGATAAGCGAAAAAAGTAGCAAACTTTTGTCCTGAAAGATTTGTGCATGATGATAGTTTATGAATTATGTTATACACACTCGCACGCGGTTTGTACGCGATGATCCCACGACTTTTACGAGGTATCAAAACGCGTTGTGGGAACGTGACACACGCGGGGACATCACACATTATACAAACTTCGCCGCAGTCAGTGTCATTATAATTCTCAGCTCGTGCTAAGGAGTAAAGAAACCCTTAAATAATCTTGTCGACTTTATCTAAACTCCCTTGCCTTCTGGGTGTATCACACTATTATATGTATATATGTGACAACAAAAAAGTCAACACAATATATATATAAAAAAAAAAAGATTGAATATCCAAAAAAAAGCTGCTTGACAAGAGAAAAGGTGTTTAAAAAGATTACTTTGAAAAACCACATTTATGTTAAAGAGCTACTTAAGCATTCAATATACGTTGATTTGAAAATCAAAAGTTAGAGGTGATAATCGCTTTTGCCTTCAAATTAGATGATTATATCGTGACGAGTTCCGGATAATTCTTTTATTCCATGTGAGAATACAAAATAATAAAAAAAAAAAACTGGGCGTTTCTTCAAGAAATTATGACTGATTTTGAAAGTGTGAATACCTTTTTATATTCGTGTTTTACGATTTACATTAATTGATCTTCGAAATTCATCTGTCAATTATTTTCTCCTTTTGAACATTTTTAAATGAAAATTTTTTATGGATATTATGAGGTAGATTTGTGTTATACCGAATTTCCAAACTTTTTTTTTATTTCTTTTTCAAAAACAAAAATAGAAAAATCAATTTTTTTCAATCGTAAAATTTTATATTCTCAAAACTCTTTTTCAGGAAATGTATAGAAATTTATAATTATATTGGTAAATATAGAATTAAAATTCGTATCTCGTTTATTCAAATATTAGAGAATATAAATTGAATTTTATCGAGAAATACAAAAAAAACAATTTTCTATTAAATAAACAATAATTTTCATTGGAAAAAATATTGTAATAAAAAAGTAAACTTTTAAAAAACAAGACTTTTTAAATAAAATAATATTAAAAAGTAAATGAAATCATCAGGTGGGGAAAAAGTTGAAAAAAAAATTCTCGAGTCTTCAGTTTCAAACAAATGGAATTATTTTTCATTTTCCCAATGTCGTAAACTTTTTTGAGCTATATATATGCAAAAAGGGATTATCAAAAAGATGATATGAGATAATAAGAGTGAGAGAGAAGAAAATTATGGAAGTTGTCTGTTTTATAACACCAGCTGTGCGACTGGGATGACTTATAATCTGAGTCACACGTTTCGTGTTAATTGGTCTTTACACCGTGGGTTTACAACGCCAGTTTAATCGGATAGGTTTACAGCACCAAGCCGCTTGGAAACCTTTAATTCATTTACGATAGTATATACCCCACTCTCTCGACAACTATATTTCAACCACAACTGTTCACCGTTTTTCCCTATTCGTTTTTTTTTACTATTTTACAATATATATCTTCTTATCTATTCATCAAATTTTATTAATTTCACTAATTTTCAAATAAAATAAAAAAAACATTTATTAGTATATTTCTAATAAATAATTAAATAATTACAAATAAAAATTTTAATAAAGTACAAATAACATAAAAATGGGGGAAAAAATAAGAAAAAAAATTAATTAAAGAGGCAATAAAATGTAAAAGAAATTAGTTCTTGATATTTGGAAAAAAACGATTTATCTCGCGAAATGTAATAAATAGTAAGTTTAGATTTTTCTTTCTTTTTTTTACAAATAGCATGCAAGAATGTCATCGACCTATAGAGGGTTGAAATATACTCATATATAAGAACTAACTTTTTGCATGTGACTCGTTATGTATAAAGAGTGTGTGAATGGCTCGCGTCCGGGGCGAGTATTATTTCCCCTGAAATAGTGTGTTACTCACTTAGAAACACACTGATAATGAGAGAAGAGAGAATATATTTCGCGCATACATTATATTTTACACGCGGCTCTTATTTAAAATGCCTTTGCCTTTTTAGCTGCGGGTCAACAGCTGTGTACAATTCACAGCTCAACCTGCCTGTGTGTGTGTGTCACTTATTTTTTTTTTTTTTTTTTTTTTACACGCAAAACGGATGTGAGTTATGAGAATTCGGACATGTATCCTCTTTTTTTTATACAAATATTTCTGGTGACATCCGTATAAGAAAATGTCCTGAAACGGATGCTACTTGTTCATTTCTTTAAGTGATCGATTCAAAATTATATACAATTTTGTATATATATATAAAAAGAAAAAATGTGGTTACTCACGACTATATAATAACGACTTTTCTTATTTTACGATTTGTCCAAAAGTCGCACTAGAGAACGTTTATTCGTGAGAAAAATTATTCCTCCATATAAAACCTAAAAAAGAAAAAAAAATTAGTTTTAAGAATTATATAATTTCACAACTCCCCTATATATAAAAAATATTATTGATATTGACTAACAATTAAATATTAATTTTAATCTCCATTGCATGCGGAAGAATAATTAAAGGTAAAAACATTTTTGCAAAATCACATGCGGGACTACAGCATTTATTTATCTATACTTGAAAATATATAAGGGTTGAATTATCAAAGCGATAAAAATTATATTATATAATTTATATACATACGTGTATGAATTTGATTAGTTATGAATTTTGATATACAGAAACTCCTACTGTTTAGCGAAAAAATCACATCAATCTGAAAAATATACAATTATAATATTTAATCTTAAAAATGTTTTTTAGACATAGTAATACTAAAATTTTATAAATAAATTTTTCGCCATAATATTAAGAACCAAAAAGAACAGCTTAGGAAGTCGTATTCTTTTTTTTGGATGCGTAAAAGCCACTTTATTAAGTGGAAGTGAGAAGAGACGTAACGTATGAGAGAAAGAGAGAGAGAGAGAGATTTGGCGGACGAGCGGTATGAAAACGACAGAAAAACCGAAAGAAGACCGCGAACATACTCGGTGTGAATCTCATCTTTTATTCAGCTTCCATTTCGTGGTGTTGATACGCGTGTGTGTTTATTGGTGAAGGAAAGGTGAATTCTGTATTTGTGAAGGAACAGAAGAGACACCGCGCCACTTAGGGTGTGAAACGGAGACATACCATCGAATTCGAATGTTATAATGCCATCGGGGAAGGATTCACTTTATTCACATCTCACAATCAGAATATACTCTCAAAGAGCAGTCGATTCTTATTGTTGCATTTTTTTTCGATTTTCAAATCTAAAGTAAAATTACATTTTATTTAAAATTTGTAATAATTTTTATTTAACAAAATTTCTATTCGGTTTCTATAAAATAAAAAAAAAAAAACTTGATTTTCCAGAAACGAACGAATTTCTTTATCCAGGGAAACTATTTTTATTCCCAGAATCGATTGAGTTCATGAATAATTTTTTTTTTTTAAGGGAAAAAAAGGACAAATCAAGTTGTTTACCTAGTGGAGAATTTTTTATGAGGGATTTATTTTCCCGAAGGTATATAATGATCACGACTGTTAAACATAGGTATGTAATGCCTATCGATCAGTTGGAAAATTAGAGGTTCGTCTCTTCTATTAGGAGAACTACCCTTTCAACCAAATATTCCCCGGCATCATTCGAGGTTTCCCTTGTGTATGTGTGTGTATATATAACATCACTCGGCAATGCTAAAGGAAATTATTGCGGCATTTAGAATCTAATTGGCCCGTCAACGTCTCGTTATCCTTTCCTTCCCTTCTTTCTCATTCCTCCACCAAAAAGGGGGGGTTTCTTATTCCATTTTTAGAATTATTGTATATATATATATAAGCGAAGGGACCCGTGACAGTTGGTATACGTTGGTACCGCGGGTTGATCCACGCGATCGTCCATATACGACGTTTTATTTATTGTTTTATCCGCCCACGATCTTGTCGCAAATTAAACGTCGCATCACACACAATAGCCTTCGTTCGTTCTTGTTTCATTTTTTTTTCTATTGATTTATAATCCCGCAACTTTTAACGCCAAATTGCGTGAAAAGTTCTTTAATGAACCCTCTCTTCTTCGTCGGACAGGTTTTTTGATATCTATATTTTCTCTGCACAATCCTAATAAAAAAAAATTATCCAAACACCATTCGAAGTTTTTCCAACTGCGGGAAAATTTTTTCAAAATTATTAAAATTATCGGTATTATAAAATTTTTATATTTTTAGGTAATAAAAATTTTCTGTCACCTTAATTATAAAAATCGACTGTCCTTGGAATGACTGCTTTTTCCTAATCTACGTCCATACCCTGAAAAAAATAATTTAATTACTATGTATAAAAAAATAGTAAATGTAAATAAAATGGGAATTATATAAATAATAAATATGAAGGTAATAAATATAATTTCGATAACAGAAAAGTAAAGGCAATCTTGAAAGACAAAAAAAAAAGTGCACTGAAATGTCCAAACGTTAAAAGCAAACATAATGACGAAATGAAAGAAGAAAAAAAAAAGTAAAATGATTGTCATGGCTCTCGTATAAAGAACGGGTCATTAAAGTAATTACTCTTTCCCCTTATTCTTTGGACATTACCTGTCAACAAGGGGTGCGCAATCTTAAAGCTTTCCCTTCGGATAATTTATTAGCATCGATAGATAACATATGATTTCTCAATAATGTGATAATGAATGGTATAAATTGGTCTTACTGTTAAGTATACACCAATTTGGTATTTTTTTTACTTTTTATAATAAATTTTTAATTTTAGAGCATCCAGTCTTTCATTAACAAAAATTTATCATTTCTTTATTTTGACAATGACAAATTTCTATAATGCTTGATAATTTTTAATGGGACAATTTAATCGAATTTTTAAATATAAAATAATAATTTTACTAAAATAATTATTTTGAGTTGGTAAATATTACAATCTGTTATAGTCGTATAAAATATATATATTACAGAATATGTAATTTTATTATATATATGAAAGGTGGGATGAGAGCGGCTTTTATAGATGAAAATTCATTCACGAATCGCTGATACAAAGACTCGTTTCGCGCTTCGTATTACGGCAGCCCGAATTAATGACCGAATTAAGCATCGTTTCACTGGAATTACGGAATTATACGGCATGGTAATATTTTAAGTATTTGCCGCGGTTAATGTAAAGTAATGAGGTGAGATAAGGCCGCTCTCACATACTTGAGATCTGAAACAGGCCCACACACGATACTTTGTTTATATATATGTATATATATATATATATGTTTGTGCGTGGGGCCCGCATTTACTGGTATTTTATACATTCGCTTCGAGGAATTATTACTATACAAGCAATGTTCACACTGTGACGAAGACCGCGAGTAGCAATGGATCAAAATATATCGCGATTTTAAAGCATTACATAAATTTTATTTCAATTTTAAATAATTTTATTGAAAACAAAATTGAAATGTTCCACTTCTAAATTCCTTTTATCTTTTTTTTTTTAAAGATTTCATAATTATTTTTCTTGTTCAATAATATTGAGCTAATAAAACTTTTCACTATCTTGGATTAAACTAAATATTTATAATATATATAAATAAAAGTATCTATATGGCAAATTAATGCATCGAACATTAAAAGAGCCTTAAAATTCTTAAAGGTTTTTAATTAGAAACGATTAGTTTTAAATTTGCGCAATTATATTGTAAATTTTATAACGCGATGTATAAATTTCAACGCACTGGTGCTCTTTGAAATTGGTACAAAATTGTAATAATTTTAAAAATATTACTATTAATCATTAGATGATTCTTTAAAATTTCTTTCTCATTGTAATTATTTTATTAATTAAAAAGTTGACGTAAAATTTTGTTCAAAAATTATTTCAAAGCCTTTCGTAATGTCAAATAAATTATATATATAAAACTGCGCTTCAGTTATAATAATATATTATATATAGAGAAAAGAATTGTGAGAGTTACATACAAATTTAACATTTAAATCGCACTTTTTTCCTCGCAACTTTATCTATGAAGATAATCATCATGTTTTTCACAACCTTTCCGTTTCAAGGCGCGATTCATCACAATTTTGTATTTAAATACTCATTTAGAATGAAAGAAAACGAGAAAAAAGTCATTAAACTTTTTTTTTCAATATAAAACTCCTTTCTTTCTTTGTCATTAAAATCCTTTTGATGAGAATTTCGAATGAATTTTGAAAATAAAAATACAATATTAGAAGTAATTTTTTTTTGAATGTCTTTAAAAGGTGGCTCGATCAACAATTTAAGTCAATAAAAATGTTATTAATTCAGCAATAGAAAACATTTTACCAACCTATAATCCCCTTCAATAAAAAATATATATGAGTCTTTCAATAATAAAAAGTGTATATATGATAGAAACAGTAAAATAAATAAATGTCAGAAGAAAAGTGCCGCTTTTTTGATTGCTAAAGATAATTGCTCATTTATCAAAGATTTGCCTAAAAGAATTTCTCGTGGTTGAAATCATTTCCACTTTTGCATATATATATTTATATAATTCACAGAATCTCGCTTTTTTTGAAGCAAAATCATTTAAAAAAAAAAAAAATATTCTTTAATCTTGGAATAATAATGATTATTACTCTTTCTTGGGATTCGTGTGAAACTAACAAGATTCTAGTCACCGACACCATGATTCCTTTGGGCTTTAATAGTCGTAATAATGACATGTGTATGGGTATTTAGATCGCGTTTCGAATCGGCAGAGCCGTTTTTCTGGTCAATTTACAGCTATTAGCTCTCGTTTGGGACCCAATCTTCATTCTGTGTTTCTTTTTTTTTTATTTCTTCTCTCTTCCTTTCATTTTTTATGTTCTCTCTTTTCGATATATGTATATATATATAGAGAGAGAAAGAGAGGCCCACACTCGACGTGTATTATAATAATATGTCGGTGGCGAGAATGCGACGGTTCGGGCGTCACAGACAATTTAACACCTGGTCTAAATGGTTTGTTAGCGCATAATATCAAGCGCTTATATTCGACGACAGGATACGGGACATTACAATATGGAAATTATTCTCAAAGCCATTGGCTAGAACGAACTGTCACTTTTAATGCTCAGATCACTGACTTGTTGAAATTGCGATGATCAAGAACTGCGCCCAGTTTTTTTTTCGAAAAATATATCCTGTAAGCAGTTTTTTTCATTAATGTTTTTTGAAAATATTCTAAAATATACATAATTAACAATCAATTTTAAAATTAAATTTATTTTCAATTTTTCAATCAAAAAAACCTTAAATAAAAATTTTAGATTATAGTGGAAATTTCACTAAGATGAAAATTCAGTGAAATTTGTAAATCATGATGAAAAAAAAAAATAAAATACAATTGTAAAAAAATTGTGAAGAATCTTTAAGATGAATTATTTTTTTTTAATACAAGGGGATACGAATGAGCATAAACTTGAAGAGATAAACAAATTTACACGTGTGCATTGTAGACCATGTGTTGCCAAACGCCTCTCGCCCTTGAATGGCAAAACAGGTTGCAGGTGCGGCACACTAGAAGGAAGAGTTTTACCATTCATCCTCACATTTATATATATATAGTATACAATGGATGTGAAATGTGGACAAAATGTATAAAATGTGAGAAAATTTACATTGCATGCAATGTAATTCCAATTACAAGAAACGTCATGCGAAAGTCTACCACACAAATCCCAAAAGAAAGTAGTTTCCGGCTTTTAAAGACCTATAATCAAATTTTTTAAAGTGCTTCTGCGCGCATCTTTTATTCTTTCCATCAGATACAATATTTTTTCATTTAATTCATTATATATAGTATTTACTCTTTTGTATATATTCGTTTACTTATATATTTTTTTCCAAAAAAATATTGATTCAACCAAAAAAAGATTTTTATAAATTTATATTTCATATAATTAATTTTTTTTTTAAATTATTTTATTTGATTTTTAAATTTTATTTATTTAGAACAAAAGAACAATTTTCTTTTTCAATAAAATCTTATATTGAACTCCGTGTGAATATTTTACATGAATGAAAAACGTTTATTGTGAAAAGCAATAAGATGTTTATATTCTCAAAACGGGTGAATCCCATTTTGTCCATCAAACGCGACCGGAAGCTACTTCCTGTGAAATTTTACCTACTATATTACACTATCACCTATTATTATAATATATGAATCTTCAAGGCCAGATAAGTATTTGCGTGCGATCCGGACCCGCAACAGTCAACCGCAAATTGTTCTTGGCAAAAGAAGGAGGAATTGTTGAATTACAGTTATTATCTTGCAATTGAAAATATGAAAATTAAGCAGTTACTTTTTTTTTTCCTTAAAACCACGAATTTCATCTTATATTGTTAAACAAATCAAGAAATTTAGCACCTTGCAATTGTTTATTCATTTTCGTCAAAAATTCAATTAAACAGAAATTAAATATCCAAATGAGTTTGTTGAAACAAAATTTGGTTTCCGAAATAGAAAATCAGCAAAATTAAAATTTCGTTAGTTTAAAAAATTGTATAATAAATAAAAAAAATTAGATCAAAATTTTTTAATTAAAAATTACATAAAAATGTAAACCTAAATTTTTCTAAAAAAAACTGACAATTTGGAAAAGAAATATTGAATGATTTAAAATCGTCAAATGACCAAAAGGGATATAGTAAACAATATCAAAATTGTTGATAATGAAATTTCAAATCACATATATAATGTAGTTTGCAACCCTCTCTGTAATTCAATTATAATTTCTGGCTGATTTCACTTTAATTGAAGGCTCGAGTTTCTCGGTAATGTTGAATTTGCCACCGGCGATGTGACATAAATCCATCAATTTTTCAAATGGAAATAAATCACCGTTTTGGTGGAGGATTTTTTCTTTTTTTTTGTCAAATGGAAGAAATTATATTGGTATAGAATATAATCGGTATAGAAGCAGGAAATCAGTAGCAAAAGCAAATGTCCAGTTCAGTAACAGCAAACAGCAATGTTAGTGACGCGAACATATTATAGCTGGATTGAGATCGGTGTTTGACCACTGGTCGGTTGCTCGTTTGTCGCAGCATGGCAATAGAGGGGACTATGGGGGTTTATAGATTTGTAGACGAGCGAGCCACGGTCATTCGGATGCTGCGTTTGACCACACCCTCGATTGCACTAAGATTTATGGCTTTTCCTTCGTTGCCTTGTTACCAATTCCCAGTTTAGCTTGTAACTACCGTAAAACGCGTTATATGCCTATGTATATATATACACAACATTGACTATAAGTACCACTTCACCGCTCTCTAGGAATGCACATATTTTCTTTTCTGCAATTTTTCCTTTTTAAAACGCAATATATGCCTTTGATTTGTTTTTTCATGTGAAATTTATGTGAAAAATTGAATAAATAAATCCTATTGTTCGATTCCCATATAGTGAAAAAAATATTTGATTCTAGAAAATGTTTTTGATTTTTTTTTACTACAAATGACGAAAAATTGTTAATTGAAATAAAAACTAAATTCTGAATCGATTTAAGAGAATCGGATCACATGACATTACAATCACGTATCAATTTAATATTAATGAATCGAAACTTATTTGGATCTGTTTTTTTTCGAAAAAAAGTTTCAGGAGGAAACTTACATATGTTTTATGACAATGGTAACAAGACACCGATAACGAGGGTGGTTATACATGACAAAGCACAAATGAAGACATTGCTGACAGCCAATTCAGAGTTTATGTTCCACCTCTTTTATTCGATATGGACTTTCAGTAATCATTGATGCGTATTGCTGACAGACAACAATATAAATTAGTACTTCAATCAAATTCTCTGCCCTTCATCACTTTGTTAATCAAAAAAAAAATGCAATTTTCATTATTTATAATTTTTTTGCATCAATTAATTATTAAATAAATTTGAAAATTTATATCAAAGAGATGATAAAAAAGAAAATTACCTGATAAAATAGTGATGACAATGTCAATTTCGGGGTAGTGTGTTTCCGTGCGCTACAATTCTCAGAGACTTCCATGTAACCCTAACGACATATGTGCTCGTCCGGCGTGAAGAATAGGATACGCTTGCAAGTTATTGCGTCTTTCCGGTGTTTATATATATGTGTCCAACGATATATATACGTCTAGGCTGACTGGTTACATCGTTAACTCCTTTAGTAAAAGAATCCTGTCACCAGGTATCTCGAGACGAAAACAGCTAACCCTGCAAAACATTTAAAATTTAGAACTTCCTTAAAATACTCCTTCCTCTTTAAAGAAATCGCTTTTACAAAAAAAAATTAAAACTAATCTGCATTCTGATTAGTTTCCTCTTATTTGATTTCAAAAAAATCTTTTTTTTTTCTTATAGAAAAATAAAAATACTATAATTTGTATTGATTTGTACGTTAATATAAAAATTGGCTTATATATCTAACAAATGGTGAATTTTGACAAAAGGGAGTGAAAATGATTTCTTTAGTCTGAATGACAAATCAACATAGAGAATCATTTCCAAGACTGACCCTTGACCTCCTGGGTTCGATTCAGCAATTAATTTGGAATCGGATATATATATAGAAGGAAAAGAGAGATGGGAAATTCTACTAGTTTTTCGAGAGATAGCCACCCTAAAATTCTCTTGGCAAAAGTAAATGCCTTCAGGGGGGTGGTAAACGGGGGTGAAAAAGAAGAGAGAGGGGGGGGGGGATCTCGCCTTAATGTAGAAAACCCAAAGGGGGGTGGGAGAGAGACTTTGTGGGGTAAAGTTCACTCGAGTGAGAGTACGACGATCACACAGGACATTGAACAGCGCGACGCCGACTGCGCCAAATTATAACTTATTTTATGACTTTTTTGCACCGGCCATTTAACCGGCCAGGAAACCGAGGGAGTCACGGTGGTCTCGCGACAAATTCGGAAATGAAATCACACCCTAATAACTTGTACCAAAAAAAATTTTTTCTCACAATCTATTTTATCGAGAAAAATTAAGTTTTTTACATTTCAAATTAATTCTTTTTATTTTAACAAAATTTGTTAAATTTAATTTATAAAAATTAAGTATATATTAATTCGGAGCGAAATATTTTCCAAATTGCTTGAAAGACGTCAAATACAGAAAAAAAATCTGGTGATCATAAAAAGAATATTTTCCTCGAATCTTTTTCTTTTTCGGGGTCAAATTAAAGAAAATGATCTTCTTTTTTTTATGACTTTCCTTATACTTCCAAAAGGAAAACTTTGTGGCATATTTGAAGACCCCACGGAAAAGTAAAATCATAACTTGGAAGAAGAGAGAAAGAAGTATATATATATATATATATCTTCGATACAATATCATGCTGTGAGTCTCGATGTTTTATGGTTTTCGCAGTAGAAACTAAACTTATTACACGACGGGATGTGCGTCTACCCCCTAAAGGGGAAGCTTTTTATTAAATCACACATCTCGAAACTCGGAACGATTAATTTGCCGTGACGTTTCTTTATAGCGGAAAACCCGAGGAATAGGGCGTTTTTAGGATTCATATTTCATTGTTATATTATCAAACAGTATATAAATAATTTAACGAAAAATCAGTTTTCGTCTATTCAAAAAAGATATGGAAAATTGATGTAGTAACATAAAAATATACTTTACTCGATTTCTTTTCTAAATCAAAAAATTCTCAAAAAAAAATAAAATATAGAATTTGTTTTAATAGTGAAATTAAAAGAAGTGTTCTTTTTGGAAAATAAGCATTTGATAAAAAAAAATAAAATGTTTTAGACAAGCAATTGTCTGTTGGTACGTTTACTGTCCTTTTTTTGTATTTAAAAAGAGAGAAAGGCGAACGAAAACAGGGATGTCGTGGGATGAATGGGGGTGAAATAGAATCGAGTTCTGCAAGGGACGGCTAATTCCATCGTGATCACGTCTGATCGATGTCTTTCGACTACACCCGAGGGAAAATTATTATCTGACAGTCTGCTTAAATCTTTCACTTTGTCAAAATAAAAAAAAAGGAAAAAAAAATCTACCTTTACTTTCAATAAACATCCTCAATAAAAAAATTCCATTTTTTTTGGAAAGAAACATTTTGTTTTTATTATTTTAAAGAGAAGAACCCTAATTCTTTTGTTTTACTTTTAGCGCCGATCCTAAAATGTACTCCTCCCTTATTACATTTGGACCCGAATAATATATATATATATCAGGAAAGAGTATAGCGAGAACTCACACACGATCAAAAGGAAAATATATATATATATAAGGACACAATAGGCGAATAGGTAGACTATAATACTGTGGAAGATAAGAAGGCCACATATGGTGTTCACTTTCAAGGGTCATTCGAAGTTTGGTGTTCGTCCAGGCGATAACTATCTCTTTCGTAGAGATGACCCTCTTATCTTATCTTTATTGTCTGATAGATACGTTTTCTGGGATAGGCATTCTGCTAAAATAAAAGCGAGGGTCATCTCATATAGATGCAGTCGCCACGCCTTAATTAAGTAGCTGCGATATATATATATATATATATATATATATATAGTATACTCTCACGCTTGTCTTCATCATAAAGACATTGGTATTATAGCACCAGCTCACCTTTCGAATGTCGACATTTATTTATATCCACTCTCTTTTATATCCTCAAAGACTCTCCTAAAAATTTTACAAAATTATAGTAAATTTTACTCTTGAGACTTGAATTAATAGTCAAAAATAACGAAATAAATTTAATTAATTATAAATTAAATTTATATAATTTAAAATAATATATTAGAACTAAATTTTAATATACACATATGTAATGTAAATTAAAAGTATACAATATAAAGATTCAATTAAAATTGTATTAAAATTAATTTTAAATATAGAAATTAAATGTACATTAAATTTAAATTAAATATACATTAAATTTTAATTAAATTAACTAATTTCGCGTATTTATAAAAAAATAAGGGATTTAATATAATAGAATTCTAGAAAATTAATTATTTAATAAAAAATTATATTTTATAAAAAATTTAATTCTGAAATTAAGAAGCTTAAGAAAATAAAGTACCGAGACTAAATCTTTATGAATAGTATATATACAATAACGCGATCGTTCAGCAAAAATGACAAATTACGAATGTTATATCAAAAATGCTCCTCTGGGAGTTGGACTATGAAAACTGACGGCACGAGAAATCAGTATACGTATATATGTGATATAAATATATATATTTTTCCCGGCCCTTTTTGGCCAAAGAAGAAGTCCGGCAATCACCGCAAACGCTCTAGTCTTTTCATGCACAATATATATATATATATAAAAGAACGTCCGCGAATATATATAATATGTAAGGGCGAGGGATTCAGTGCACATTTCGTATTCCTCGCGCATTGCTTTTATCTCCCACATTTTTATTACATGCTGGAGTAAGAATGTTTTATTTATATTTCATATTTCGCACACGCAATATCCACCTAAAAGATCGGACACATCAGAGAATTATCCCGAAAATTCCAACACGTTTTGCATATTTCTCACAAGATTTACAAATTTTTAAACGGTTTTTTTTTCAAATAAATAAGCTTCTCGTCAATTTACTAAGGTTTTTTTTTTAAACAGTAGCGCATTTAAAAGTAAATGTATTAAAAAAAAATTCAAAAACCGGTATTTTACATTTCTTTTTAAAAAATAATTATTAAACACAAATTAAAATTATGGAAAAAATTAATTCTAATTTAAAGGTTATAAAATTAATATAATAGTTAATTGAGATTGAGATACTTACACAATTGTTTTTCCGGAAAAAATCACAAATATCCTTAATAACTGACCTCATGTAGACTTTTTTTCATCACCAGGATATTCCAAAATAAAATCGCTTATAAATAGGTTAAATCTTCTTGATAAAAATACAGTGATAAAATTATAAAATCTGAAAATATTGATATATTTTTCGTGATTATATAAGTAATACATGCAATAAAGAACAAACAGGTTAGAAGAAAATAAATAGAACGCCTGCATACTTACAGAGCCGGTCTTTTTCATTAGAGAATCATATTTATCATTTTTGTACTCTTATACATTTTAAATAATCACTTTATTTCAAAGTGGAGAACAATTTTCAGTTAGTAAATACATTAATTATTAATTTTAATACATTTTTCTTATAATCTTTATTTTCCTTTGTTTTTTACTTGTTTTACGGAAAATATGTAATTATAACTGTCAACTGTTTACTAGTGATGGATTATAAAGGCGCAACAACAATATTAATAAAAATTAAATTAATGCTAAAATAATTTTTCTAATTTTACTCTATTTCAGATTGAGTTTAATTATTAATATTATTATTTATTAAATTACACTATTAAAATAATTTCTTTCATTAAAAATATGTAGAAATCTCTATGAAAATTGCTCAGGGCACTAGAGTTTTATTCTCCAGCACTGATGAAAATCTAAACTGGCGTGAAGTTTGGCATAAGTACACAATTCAAATTATTTCTTTCTTTTATAACAAATATTTCTATTTTATTTGTAAAATATTCGCAAAATAACGTTAAAATATTATTACGTTACTAATAAATAATAGTTATTTATTAATTAAATCATTTTTTAGTGTAGAATTTGCATTATTGAGTTTGTGAAATTTGAATTATATCGATATCTCGCATTCGATTCTGAGCGAGACTTGTGCAGGTCACATGACCAAAGTAAAGCGTGTGTCGTTTGTTTGGCGCCTTTCAGCATTGGATGTGTATTGCTTGTTTTAATTAATGTGATAAAAGTGATTAAAATGTTGGAATATAAGGAATGATAAGTTGGATTGCAGCATTAATAGTGACATTATCGTTTTATATAATAATCAAACGTGAGTATTGTTTTATATCATCTTTATATTGCCATGTGTAGTTGACACGAAAAGTGAGGTTATGTTTACCTCTCCCGGTGCATTTATTTTATAATAATAATGAAAATTTTGTTACTACAGGTCAATATTATTTGTTAGTTTAATATTTAATGAAAATAAATCATTTTCATGATAAACATAATATGTATATTGTTTTTTTTTTTGCATCAGAATCGTTTTCTCTGCGTCATGTTATCACATTTATTATTTTCAGAAATTCATTAAATTCGTTATCAAATTTGTTCCTTAGTACATTTTTTTGTCATTATTTTTAGAAATTTGGATAATTTACAAGAGAAATGGAGAAACAATGTTAAAAATTAAATATTTATTACATTTTATAAATATTTTTACAATTATTGATATAGATGAAGAACATTTAATTTCTGTACATGCATTATTATTTTTTTTTATTGGATTACATAAAAATAGTTTATTAAAAATTTCTTGAATTTTTATTTTCTATTACAATTGGTTTTATTTGTGAAATGATGTTTTTTTACAGCTTTTGGTTTTTTTTTAAATATTTTTTTTTGGTAAGAATTTTTTAGTTAGTCCTTGTTTTTTTTCAGGTTTATTAAAAATTTCTTAAATTTTTATTTTCTATTACAATTCGTTTTATTTGTGAAATGATGTTTTTTTTACAGCTTTTGGTTTTTTTTAAATATTTTTTTTAGTAAGAATTTTTTATTTAGTCCTTGTTTTTTTCAGATTATAAGAACGGTAAAATGGATAATGACGAGTTTTTGTCGGAAAGTGAAGAGGAGAAAATTGAATATGGGAAGAGAAAAGGAAATTTTGATTGGGAGGCTTTTAAAAGTAAACCAAAATCAGAATTTAAGAAGAAAATTTTTGACAATTCAACCCAAAGTTTAAGTGATGGTTTCATTGAATTAACCGACGATGAATCTGATAAAAGTGATAGATCATCAACCATTAGAGGAACTGATATAAAATTCGAAGCACCACGAGTTCTGATACATAACATTCTCACAATTGCAAAGGTGTCTGTCGATATGCCAGTAAAGCCTTACCCTTGCCAAACGGCAGTCATGAATATGGTAATTATTTTTATTTATTTTATTTAAATATCAAAAGTTCTTAGGGTTTAATAAATTGTAAAATATTTTGATTGTATTTATTGAATATATATATATATATATATTTTTTTTTATTTACAGTTAATAAAAGGCTGTACGAATAAACAAAATTGCCTCTTAGAGAGTCCTACGGGAAGTGGTAAAACATTAGCCTTACTCTGCAGTGCTTTAGCTTGGCAAGATAATTTTGCTAGTGAGTTTTTGAACAATCTTGCATGCTATATAAAGCAATTTTTCTATTTTAAAAATTATGCATTAATTAATATTATTATTGAAACTTGATTTTCAATTAAAGATATAAATTTTTCTACGAAAACAATTTTTAAAATTGAACCCACATATTTAAAGTATATATTATACAGAAAGATAATATAATTGTCCTTTTTCCTCGAAGAAGTAAAACTTTAATGAAAGGTGCAATTGCTATCCTATATACATTGGTTAGGTTATAAGCAAACAAGTTTCTAATATTCAAAATTCGCACGGTTCCCGAAAATTTCACGAGTCCGTCGAAAAGAGCAGCTGCTCTTTTCTATATACACGAAACTTGGTGGTGAGTTAACGACCAAGCGTCACGAGACAATCCCCAAAAGAAACGCGTCTACGTTGGTTATATAGAATAGATAATATAAAGATCGAGCCATGAAAGTCGACACAAGTCTCTTGATTTAAACAATAGTCAGCTTCTCCATTATAAAACTGCTTTATATAAATTTAGGCTATTTCTTCGTTTCTCTTCACAGTATCGTCTTCTTGATTCTTCTTCTTCTTTCTCTCTTTCGTACCAGTTAAAATAAATGGTTACCCTCTTGATCCCTAGTGGATTGCTTGTTTCTATACTCAAAACGAATGGAAATAGCTCTTTATTTTTAAATTGACAAGGAAAGAGGAGAAATTAACAGTTTTGTGACACGCTATTTTGCGATTCTCAATGTATATAGATGGAGGAAATTAAATGAACCCATATTTTTACAGTCCCTTTTGGATTAAAGGACAATTTTGATGTTTCTTGAGGAGCTCGATTGTCTCCAGATTTTATGACTGTCATTTCGAAGTCTTCTTCATTGCCCGTCCCACTCGCGATATTAACTTCAGAGAATAGTTATGTCAAACTATATATATGCTTCATTGTTTTTGATGAATCTTCAAATCAATTCATTTTATTTGAAAATTAAATTTCAAAAAATTTTCCAAATTGCTTTTTTCAAAAAAAATAATTTAATTATCTTGTTAATATATTTTCATATTTGGCCTTATATATATATACTTATATCACAAACTACGTTTCCTTGTTTATTGAAAATTAAATTAAATTCAATTTAAATGACTAAATTATGATTAGAAAAAAATTAATTAAAATTTAAAGAGACATTGATAATAATTGGTATACAAGGTTTGTGTTTTTTTGTATTTATATGTATATATATAGAAATTGTATACAAGTTTCATGATGTGATTTTCCAGCACGTAACGTAGAAAGTTATGGAGCATATATAGAAAAAGCAGAAACTGTCTATTTAGCGATTCCCAGCTACCATATTAATTTAAATTATTTAAGTATTTATTTCTTTCTAATGACTCTCCCGAGTCTTGTTCACTTTACCTCTGTCTCTCACGTCACTAATGGCGTGCGATTCGCGCATTTTCTAAACAATTATACGCGCCTTTACGATGTATTTGTATATACATTTCTACCAAATCGGGTTCCAGAAATGAAACTCGTAAATTTCATAACTTTTGATTTATTTTATATAATCAAAACTGATTTATTTTTTTATTTATAAAATATATTAATTTATTATTCTTTACATTATTTTTATTATATTATTCAGGATAAAGAAAATAAATTTTCAAAAGTTAGTTTTCAAGTTTGAAAATAATTATTTAAAATAAATTTTTTTATTTGCTTTTAATTCAAGTTTTGCTGAGGAGGTTACAATTGTTTAGTAAATGGTCGAAACTAACGAAATAATTATAAATCAAGTGAGCAAGTTTCTGTCGAACTGCATTTTCGGTCTAATGGATCTTATCTAATGCTTATCCAACTCCTAATCGAAAACCGACGTCCATTAACTTGCATCTCAGTGGTAGTTTGAATGTTTACTAGAACTTGGAAACGGGTCGTTGTGCAGCAGTTCCTTTGATAAGGTTCGAGAAAATTAAGGGGGTCGCAAATCGTATTCGATGATTCACCATTTCATCCTCTCTCTCTATATATATATATTTCTTCTCAAATTTCAATACATCGTTATATTCACTATATCAAATTTACTTTATTTTACATCTAATTCAAAAATAAATATAATAATTCTTTCAATTGAGGGTTCATCTCATTATTTTTTCTCGGTAAATTTTTTGTGCTTATAATTCATTTTTACGTGTTATTCGTCTTTAAAAATGAAGCTTAATAATCACTCGCAACATTTTTCAACAGGAAATCCGAACCGCTTTTAACAGCTCGGACGGAAATGATCGCGTGCGATTTTCGGTCTCGACAAATTAAACGTTTCCCAACGTTAACATCATATTTGCGTGCTATAGTATTTAATTCTTATATATATATATTTTTTTTTAAAAAAAACTTTTTTTTAGTGAGCAATCCCTGACGATGTTCCGAATTCTTGGAACAGGTTGATGAAAACACACCCCCACACTTTTTATGTATACAAATTCCGAGATCATGGGACGAGTCCTTCGTATATTGTCATGACATAATTTATAAAGCACACGACTTCTCAACTAGCACGCGAACTGTCGCTCTCTCCCTAGATAATCAAATACACAGGCATTTATGTATATATATATATGTGATTGCGCCTTATCTGCTTGTGAAGTTGTAAAAGGTACCGTTTATGACCCGGTAGCCATGACGTTATTGCGCACAAAAGTCAAAGTCGTTTTTATAATCTAAAGCTCGTTTTCTTCTATATTTTTCAAAAATTCCCGAGGGAATTGTTCAAATAATTATTTTTTGTTCCCATTTTAAAAACAGAATTTCTATAAGTATTTACGACATTAAATGAATAAATCAACTACTTCTCCAAGTTTTTGATTCATTTGAAATAATTTAGATTTTAAATTTTCTAGGCAAAATTTTCGATTAAAAAATAAAAATGTATAAATTCTATTTTATATGGGAGTAACACGAGCACGCGATATTCTCAAAGCCTGGCATCTATTTCTCGTTAATAATTACTTGAATCTAAAGTCAAGAGCACTCCACACGGAAACAGAGGCATTGATATCGGAGTGTGTCATTGGTGCGGTGCACGCCACATAATCCCTTTTTCAAATATATTTCAAACAATTTATATATTATTCTGTTTGAAACTAAAACTGTCATGCCTCTGGCTCGAGTGCTGGTACAACTATCCACCAAAAAACTTGAAACTCATTTAACCAGTTAAACTCGTATATATAAATTAAATTGTTTCAAAAGAAAAAAAAAATGGAGAGAGAGAGCAAGTTTAGTCGATAACATTCAACCCCTATTATTCTACCATGTCATTAGATATATTTTTTTTAAATCTAAAATAATGTAAGCTTATAATTGTTGTCAGGCAAAAACTTAGAGGAATAATAATTTTTTCTAATTCGAAAGCACGCGAAAGCACTTCTTAAAAAGTTTAGAATTCATCGACTTTTTATGATTCCTTATTTCTCTTAAATCTTTTTTATTTTAGATATATATTCAAAAAGGGAACAATTAAATTCTTTTGTGAAATTTCGTTGATTGTGATGATAATATATATATATATTGTGCGAAAACTTATAAAGTTGATCTATAGAATGAGAAATAAGTTTTGAAAGTTTATCGCGAAATCGCATGCCGGATAATGTCACTTTATTACTAAGGTAGAACGTCTGCTGTGTAAGAAGTTTCCGAACAAGCGGTAGCAACGAGAACTATTGTACGACAGGAAACTTGTGGAAGTCATAATAATTATTGGCGAATGCGGAATTATATATTGTGTCGCGGCAACATGCAACTATAAGGAATATATGCGACTTCTCTCTGCGATGATGTTATGACATTAATAATGTCCTTCCTGTGCTGTGCGCACCTACTATTATCAGGGTGTCTTAACGGTCAGGGATGTCAGGAAATTTTCTGCAATTTAAGATTCCAGTTTTTTTTTTTTGTTTTACCCAAAAATTGCCGACAAAGCATTGTCGCCCACATGCTGATTTGATTTCTAATCGTATAAAATGAAAGTGCATCAGAGATTCCCATGGTGCAAGTTTGCGGAACTTGGTATATAGTTGATTTTTTTTTTCTGAATGGACCGGAACAGAGGTAGACTGAGGCAATGACGAAAAATCAGTGCAATGAGAGATTCGTTTTTGAATTTGAAATCTTGAAATGCATCGTATTTAGCGAATGAAACGAAGAACGGTAGCCGCAATGGACCAGTGAGGCTACCCGCAGAGCCTCTGCTACTTGCTGGCAGCTCCCCGAAGAAAAGACAAAGGCAAGCTTCTCTTTCATCATGCCGACATTAAGGTATATATATATATAAACCATACGTCCTCGGGACAATACGGTTATTCGCATGCGGGTCCAATGGATCTCACGTCGCTTCTGTACTTATACGACTCACACAATCTCTACAAACTGGCCTTCCAAACGCGCGCCGTCCAATTTCTTCATACCGTCGAGAGCCACTCTCACACACGCCAAAAAGAGTTCTCTAGCTTCGAATACGGGCCCTTCTTGTTGTACGCACGACGACCAGAGATTGCTCTCCAGATATTGAAAAAAGGGAGAAAAATTCCAAAACTTCAAAATCGAATGTGGTTCAAAATTTTTTGATTCAAAAATGGTTTTAAAACTGAATTTCGTTTGCAAATAAATAAAATTACATAAGTGTAGAGGCCTCTCTGGTTCGATAATGGAATACAGTGAGGGCGCGCAGTGAGACCGTGGGCAAGTCCCGGATGGACTCGTGGAAGATAAGAGACCCCCCAATGCCTTGCCGGGCGCCGGCGGTTCGCATCGAATCCTCAACTTCTCTCTGGGGTGGTCCCCAACGTTCTTCTTCGCGATCCCCCCCCCCACCCCGCGGTTTTCCTTTTATATACGCTTCGTCGCTCTCTTATTCTTATCTTTTCTCCCTCTCAGCCTCGTGCAAATCGGTCCTTTTCAATTCTTGTTCTTTCTCGCTCCTTTTCTTTTTTCTTGTTTCGAAGTCG